GGGCAGGACAGGACAGGGCAGGGCAGGACAGGGCAGGGCAGGACAGGGCAGGGCAGGACAGGGCAGGGCAGGGCAGGACAGGACAGGACAGGACAGGACAGGACAGGACAGGGCAGGGCAGGGCAGGACAGGACAGGGCAGGACAGGACAGGGCAGGACAGGACAGGACAGGGCAGGGCAGGACAGGGCAGGGCAGGACAGGGCAGGACAGGACAGGACAGGGCAGGACAGGGCAGGGCAGGACAGGGCAGGGCAGGACAGGGCAGGGCAGGACAGGGCAGGACAGGGCAGGACAGGACAGGGCAGGACAGGACAGGACAGGGCAGGGCAGGACAGGGCAGGGCAGGACAGGGCAGGACAGGACAGGACAGGGCAGGGCAGGACAGGGCAGGGCAGGACAGGGCAGGGCAGGGCAGGACAGGACAGGACAGGACAGGACAGGACAGGACAGGGCAGGGCAGGGCAGGACAGGACAGGGCAGGACAGGACAGGGCAGGGCAGGACAGGACAGGGCAGGACAGGACAGGGCAGGACAGGACAGGGCAGGACAGGACAGGGCAGGACAGGACAGGGCAGGACAGGACAGGGCAGGACAGGACAGGGCAGGACAGGACAGGACAGGGCAGGGCAGGACAGGGCAGGGCAGGACAGGGCAGGACAGGACAGGACAGGGCAGGGCAGGACAGGGCAGGGCAGGACAGGGCAGGGCAGGGCAGGACAGGACAGGACAGGACAGGACAGGACAGGACAGGGCAGGGCAGGGCAGGACAGGACAGGACAGGACAGGACAGGACAGGGCAGGGCAGGACAGGGCAGGACAGGGCAGGGCAGGGCAGGGCAGGACAGGGCAGGGCAGGACAGGGCAGGACAGGACAGGACAGGGCAGGGCAGGACAGGGCAGGGCAGGACAGGGCAGGACAGGACAGGACAGGGCAGGGCAGGACAGGGCAGGGCAGGACAGGGCAGGGCAGGACAGGGCAGGACAGGGCAGGGCAGGACAGGACAGGACAGGACAGGACAGGGCAGGGCAGGACAGGGCAGGGCAGGACAGGGCAGGGCAGGACAGGGCAGGACAGGGCAGGACAGGGCAGGACAGGACAGGACAGGACAGGACAAGGCAGGGCAGGGCAGGACAGGGCAGGACAGGACAGGACAGGGCAGGGCAGGACAGGGCAGGGCAGGACAGGGCAGGACAGGACAGGACAGGGCAGGGCAGGACAGGGCAGGACAGGGCAGGACAGGACAGGGCAGGACAGGACAGGACAGGGCAGGACAGGACAGGACAGGGCAGGGCAGGACAGGACAGGCAGGACAGGGCAGGACAGGCAGGGCAGGACAGGGCAGGGCAGGACAGGGCAGGGCAGGGACAGGGACAGGACAGGGACAGGACAGGACAGGACAGGACAGGGACAGGACAGGACAGGGCAGGGCAGGACAGGGCAGGAGGACAGGGCAGGACAGGGCAGGGCAGGGCAGGACAGGGCAGGGCAGGGCAGGGCAGGGCAGGGCAGGGCAGGGCAGGGCAGGGCAGGGCAGGGCAGGGCAGGGCAGGGCAGGGCAGGGCAGGGCAGGGCAGGGCAGGGCAGGGCAGGGCAGGGCAGGGCAGGGCAGGGCAGGGCAGGGCAGGGCAGGGCAGGGCAGGGCAGGGCAGGGCAGGGCAGGGCAGGGCAGGGCAGGGCAGGGCAGGGCAGGGCAGGGCAGGGCAGGGCAGGGCAGGGCAGGGCAGGGCAGGGCAGGGCAGGGCAGGGCAGGGCAGGGCAGGGCAGGGCAGGGCAGGGCAGGGCAGGGCAGGGCAGGGCAGGGCAGGGCAGGGCAGGGCAGGGCAGGGCAGGGCAGGGCAGGGCAGGGCAGGGCAGGGCAGGGCAGGGCAGGGCAGGGCAGGGCAGGGCAGGGCAGGGCAGGGCAGGGCAGGGCAGGGCAGGGCAGGGCAGGGCAGGGCAGGGCAGGGCAGGGCAGGGCAGGGCAGGGCAGGGCAGGGCAGGGCAGGGCAGGGCAGGGCAGGGCAGGGCAGGGCAGGGCAGGGCAGGGCAGGGCAGGGCAGGGCAGGGCAGGGCAGGGCAGGGCAGGGCAGGGCAGGGCAGGGCAGGGCAGGGCAGGGCAGGGCAGGGCAGGGCAGGGCAGGGCAGGGCAGGGCAGGGCAGGGCAGGGCAGGGCAGGGCAGGGCAGGGCAGGGCAGGGCAGGGCAGGGCAGGGCAGGGCAGGGCAGGGCAGGGCAGGGCAGGGCAGGGCAGGGCAGGGCAGGGCAGGGCAGGGCAGGGCAGGGCAGGGCAGGGCAGGGCAGGGCAGGGCAGGGCAGGGCAGGGCAGGGCAGGGCAGGGCAGGGCAGGGCAGGGCAGGGCAGGGCAGGGCAGGGCAGGGCAGGGCAGGGCAGGGCAGGGCAGGGCAGGGCAGGGCAGGGCAGGGCAGGGCAGGGCAGGGCAGGGCAGGGCAGGGCAGGGCAGGGCAGGGCAGGGCAGGGCAGGGCAGGGCAGGGCAGGGCAGGGCAGGGCAGGGCAGGGCAGGGCAGGGCAGGGCAGGGCAGGGCAGGGCAGGGCAGGGCAGGGCAGGGCAGGGCAGGGCAGGGCAGGGCAGGGCAGGGCAGGGCAGGGCAGGGCAGGGCAGGGCAGGGCAGGGCAGGGCAGGGCAGGGCAGGGCAGGGCAGGGCAGGGCAGGGCAGGGCAGGGCAGGGCAGGGCAGGGCAGGGCAGGGCAGGGCAGGGCAGGGCAGGGCAGGGCAGGGCAGGGCAGGGCAGGGCAGGGCAGGGCAGGGCAGGGCAGGGCAGGGCAGGGCAGGGCAGGGCAGGGCAGGGCAGGGCAGGGCAGGGCAGGGCAGGGCAGGGCAGGGCAGGGCAGGGCAGGGCAGGGCAGGGCAGGGCAGGGCAGGGCAGGGCAGGGCAGGGCAGGGCAGGGCAGGGCAGGGCAGGGCAGGGCAGGGCAGGGCAGGGCAGGGCAGGGCAGGGCAGGGCAGGGCAGGGCAGGGCAGGGCAGGGCAGGGCAGGGCAGGGCAGGGCAGGGCAGGGCAGGGCAGGGCAGGGCAGGGCAGGGCAGGGCAGGGCAGGGCAGGGCAGGGCAGGGCAGGGCAGGGCAGGGCAGGGCAGGGCAGGGCAGGGCAGGGCAGGGCAGGGCAGGGCAGGGCAGGGCAGGGCAGGGCAGGGCAGGGCAGGGCAGGGCAGGGCAGGGCAGGGCAGGGCAGGGCAGGGCAGGGCAGGGCAGGGCAGGGCAGGGCAGGGCAGGGCAGGGCAGGGCAGGGCAGGGCAGGGCAGGGCAGGGCAGGGCAGGGCAGGGCAGGGCAGGGCAGGGCAGGGCAGGGCAGGGCAGGGCAGGGCAGGGCAGGGCAGGGCAGGGCAGGGCAGGGCAGGGCAGGGCAGGGCAGGGCAGGGCAGGGCAGGGCAGGGCAGGGCAGGGCAGGGCAGGGCAGGGCAGGGCAGGGCAGGGCAGGGCAGGGCAGGGCAGGGCAGGGCAGGGCAGGGCAGGGCAGGGCAGGGCAGGGCAGGGCAGGGCAGGGCAGGGCAGGGCAGGGCAGGGCAGGGCAGGGCAGGGCAGGGCAGGGCAGGGCAGGGCAGGGCAGGGCAGGGCAGGGCAGGGCAGGGCAGGGCAGGGCAGGGCAGGCAGGCAGGGCAGGGCAGGCAGGGCAGGGCAGGGCAGGGCAGGGCAGGCAGGGCAGGGCAGGGCAGGGCAGGGGCAGGGCAGGGCAGGGCAGGGCAGGCAGGGCAGGGCAGGGCAGGGCAGGGCAGGGCAGGGCAGGGCAGGGCAGGGCAGGGCAGGGCAGGGCAAGGGGCAGGGCAGGGCAGGGCAGGGCAGGGGCAGGGCAGGGCAGGGCAGGGCAGGGCAGGGCAGGGCAGGGCAGGGCAGGGCAGGACAGGACAGGACAGGGCAGGGCAGGGCAGGACAGTGCCATGTGGGATTCCACACTTGTGTGGAGAGTGGGACTTGCGCCCTGTGTGGATCCACACATGTGTGTGGAGAGTGGGACTTGCGCCCTGTGTGGATCACACATGTGTGTGGAGAGTGGGACTTGCGCCCTGTGTGGATCCACACCGTGTGTGGAGAGTGGGACTTGCGCCCTGTGTGGATCCACACATCGTGTGTGGAGAGTGGGACCTTGCGCCCTGTGTGGATCCACACGTGTGTGGAGAGTGGGACTTGCGCCCTGTGTGGATCCACACATGTGTGTGGAGAGTGGGACTTGCGCCCTGTGTGGATCCACACATGTGTGTGGAGAGTGGGACTTGCGCCCTGTGTGGATCCACACGTGTGTGGAGAGTGGGACTTGCGCCCTGTGTGGATCCACACATGTGTGTGGAGAGTGGGACTTGCGCCCTGTGTGGATCCACACGTGTGTGGAGAGTGGGACTTGCGCCCTGTGTGGATCCACACATGTGTGTGGAGAGTGGGACTTGCGCCCTGTGTGGATCCACACATGTGTGTGGAGAGTGGGACTTGCGCCCTGTGTGGATGCACACATGTGTGTGGAGAGTGGGACTTGCGCCCTGTGTGGATCCACACATGTGTGTGGAGAGTGGGACTTGCGCCCTGTGTGGATCCACACATGTGTGTGGAGAGTGGGACTTGCGCCCTGTGTGGATCCACACATGTGTGTGGAGAGTGGGACTTGCGCCCTGTGTGGATCCACACATGTGTGTGGAGATTGGGACTTGTGCCCTGTGTGGATTCTGACATTGTGTGTGTTTAGGCGACAGGAGACGACTTTTTGTTGGCGCATTGAGTTTAGGCTCAATGTCAAAAGTCGTCTCCTGTGTGGATTCTGACATTGTGTTTTCGACCCCCACAATGCAAATCAATGTATCTGAATCGTGTTCCGAATTGCCTGAAATCAATCTCGACAACAAGTACCAGGGAACATGTTCAATCTCGACAACAAGTACCAGGAAACATGTTCAATCTCGACAACAAGTACCAGGGAACATGTTCAATCTCGACAACAAGTACCAGGGAACATGTTCAATCTCGACAACAAGTACCAGGGAACATGTTCAATCTCGACAACAAGTACCAGGGAACATGTTCAATCTCGACAACAAGTACCAGGGGACATGTTCAATCTCGACAACAAGTACCTACCAGGGAACATGTTCAATCTCTCCTCCTGCCTGCAACAATATATTCCGTCCCCTCTTCTCCCTCCCTCTTGTTCTCCCTTCAGCCTCACAGGCAGCGGCCGCTGACTCTGCTCCAGCTGACTCCAGCAAGGGTTGGGGTGCAAACGAGGAGACATCGGAAGAGGGTGAAGCGGAGGGGAAGGTGGAGAGTGATGCCAGTGGTCGGTGCTCCCTGTGCCTTGCTGCTCGCTCCCACCCCACCTGCTGCCCCTGCGGTCACATCTTCTGCTGGTATGCCTGTTGCTCTATTCCTTTTCTTCCACCTTCCCAACTTGTTTCCACTCTTCCCTCCACCACCCCACCTGCTGCCCCTGCGGTCACATCTTCTGCTGGTATGCCTGTTGCTCTATTCCTTTTCTTCCACCTTCCCATCTTGTTTTCCACTCTTCCCTCCACCACCCCACCTGCTGTCCCCGCGGCCACATCTTCTGCTGGTATGCCTGTTGCTCTACTCCCCACCCACCCGGCTTGCTGCCCTAATGGCCATCCCTCCCTTCTGCTAGTACAACGAATGCTCATCATCGTCTCTTCTTCGTCCTCCCTCTCCTTCTCCCTCTCCTCCTCCTTTACTTCCTTCCCACTCCTCCCAGGGGTTGCATAGCAGAGTGGTGCAACGAGAAGCCCGAGTGCCCTCTCCTCCACCCTCCCTTTCCTCGCCCTCGTCTCATGACGTCTCGTGTTCGATGCCATCACAGCCTAATTTCTCTCCCTTTCCCTTCCCATCCATCTACCGCCTGCTCCTCCCAGGGGTTGCATAGCAGAGTGGTGCAACGAGAAGCCCGAGTGTCCTCTTTGCCGCTCTGCCTTTCCTCACCCCCGTCTCACGACGTGCCTTGTTCCATGCCACCGCCACCGAATTTCTCTCTCTTTTCTCCCTCCATTCCATCTGCCTCTCCGCTCCTCCCAGGGGTGCATTGCAGAGTGGTGCAACGAGAAGCCCGAGTGTCCTCTTTGCCGCTCTGCCTTTCCTCACCCCCGTCTCACGATGTGCCTTGTTCCATGCCACCGCCAACGAATTTCTCTCTTTTCTCCCTCCATTCCATCTGCCTCTCCGCTCCTCCCAGGGGGTGCATTGCAGAGTGGTGCAACGAGAAGCCAGAGTGCCCTCTCTGCCGCTCCCCAGCTCCCCACTCCTCCCTTGTTCCGCTGCACCACGCGGCCTTCTAAGGGCCTGTTTCTGAACGTGGTTGCACATCATGGTACAGGTTTCAGGTGCAGAGAGGGCACTCTGGCTTCAGGTTTCAGGTGCAGCATTATGCCAAGCTGGTGCTTGGCATCTGGAAGTCTTGAGACATCTGCATCGCACAGAACCATTTTGATACACCGTATGACAAAATGTTCCGTTGCTCTTTTTAGCTGTGGCTAAATACAGGGGAGCAGTGCAGCACTGTACATTATATTTTTCCTAAGAGTGCAGTTACTTAGAAACAGTGTACAGTATACCACAATGAAGTTTGTTGCTCAGGCTCCTTGAGTTTTATTCTGTATATATACACTCTCGTCTGTGTTTTGGCGCAAGAATGGTGTAAACCAACAGGTGATGCATGGATCTGTTAAACTAACTTCCGCTCATGACTACTGCCTGCAATATGCCAAACAAAACCACAAGAAACATAAATTGATCCGGTTGGCTTACCGGTATCGATGCTACCGTAAATGACTATGATAGCACTGATTACTTTACTAGGCCTCTCAACGTGTTTGCACACTGCTCAATGTTAGAACTTGGTTTGTATATACACTGCCTGACTGACAATAGAGAATTCTTGAAAACCATCAGAAATTTCTCATGAAAGCTCCTACTCCCCAGCATCCATCCATACTCGGCTTATGGACATGCCCAGGTGAGTGGTGACGAGTCAATCTGCAAGGGAGTTGTGTTGTGTGCAGGGGGAAGGGGCACAGCGCATGAAACAGGGAGACAGTCACACATGCAAACAAGGTGACAACTGAGCCAGCTTTAGAACTTGCCCCGGCTCAAAAGAGGTTATTTTTGAGTAAGCTTATAATAGGAATCAAAGGGAGGCCGCGAGCAGGACAGTGAGCGGAAAAAAAAAAACAAACAAAAAAAAAGGGCACGCTCGCTGAACCAGGCAATAAATGCCATAGCTGATGTGAAGCGGGCAGAGGATGAAACAGAGCGAGAGACAAGAAAGACAGGGAGGAGACGTTGTGAGCGCTTTTTCCGTGGCCAGTAGCTGTCACATGTACCCCAAAACACTATAGTTAGCAGTGAGTCGACTCTATAGACATACATACCAGATTGTTTTGGCTAGCAGCCGGCTGACCGCAGTGAGTGCTGCTGCTGCCGCCATCGCCGCTGCAGCTGCTGCTGTGCGTGGCGGGTTCAGCTCTAGCCCAAGGGAAGAAGAACGGACGTGGCGTGTAGGACACAGAGCACGGCTCAAGAGGCGAGGCAAGTGGTGGTGCCGATGATGCTGATTGTGGTGGGTGTGGTGGTGATGGTCCTGCAGATTGTACAGCACATGGTGCTGCAGGTGAAGCGTTTACTGCTGAAGCTGAAGGTTCTGAAGGCCCTCCTCCGGACGGTTTCGCAGCAGGTGGCCTGGAAGCAGTGAGGCGCACGTACTTGTGCCGATTCCACTCCGCATGCTCCCTCCACCACGCCTCCTCCCCCACCCCCCCCTCCTCCTCCCCCTCCCCCTCTCCCTCCTTCTGCTCCGTCCCCTCCTGCCCCTGCCCCTCCCCCTCCCACTCCCCCTCCCTCTCCGCCTCCTGCTCCCGCTACCCCTGCCTCTCCTACCCCACCCCCGCCCCCTGCGAGTCCCAGCATCTGGCGGCGCATGTCGCGGCGCACGATGTGGTGGAAGAGGTAGAAGTGGCCCGTGCTGAGCAGCCCGCTGTTCAGGAGACTCACATCCACCGTGTCGAATGCCTTGTGCCCGCAGCACAACAGGAAGTCATCAGATCCCCTGCCTGCACGCACCTGCAGTGTGGGGAAAGAATGGCACCAGTTTCCACGATTTTCAAGCTTGAGAACGAGCTGGTTTTTTTCAAACTTCCAAAAACCAGCTCAGCTTCCCAACATGGCGAATTGATAAGCTTTGAGTTCACCAAGAGCTGGAGTAAGCATAGCGTTTTAAGCATTCGAAAAAAAAAAAAAAACAAACAAACAAACAAACATACTGCATGCATGTGTTTTGCACGTCCATATTTGTGAGCAAAGTGCTTCTTGCTTGGCCTACCTTGGGAATACCGGCGTCCATAAATTCGGAGAGCAGCAGAGCAATGTCATTGCGAGCCGTGAACAGGTGTATGTGCGCGTTCTCCCGCACTGCCGGCTGCGAGCTGCTGCGCTCTCCTGCTCCTGCCCCACTCGCTCCTCTAGATTCTGCTGCTGCAACTGCTGCTTCTGCTGCACCTGCTGCTCCTCTTGCTCCTCCTCCTGCTGATGCTGCTGATACCAGTGGCCTGACTGCTGATTCTGTTGGCCGTTCCACACCAGGGAATGGAACCGCAGCTCTGCCTGCACCTACACCTTCTCTTGACCTAGCTTCTAAACTGCTGGACTGAGAATCTACACTGCGAGACATGGAAATTACACGTATAGGCACAAGATTCTCTTGCCACCTGCCACCATCAGTCACAGATCTCCCCGTCTCACACTCCCCTTCGTTAAAAGCACACGAGCTATCAGGACACGCTCCTCCCGTTCTCGCTGCTGCTTCCTGAACTGCTTCGGACATCTGTAAACCGTTAAGAGAATGCTTTCTAGGCCCATCAAATGCGTTAGAAGCACTGCCAGTCCTGCTACTTCCGGACTTGTGCTCAGCCTCGTTGCCTCCTGCCTCTCTGGTTCGGAAAACAGGCTCGGATGCACCTCCAAACCTCTCAGGCCCGCCGCCGACAAGACTCGACACAGCCTCGGCAGACGCATGGCCACCAGGTTCGGCAAGGCCCGGCGGGTGGAATATCTCGTTCCAAACCTCCATCAGCCCCTTTTCCCGAACCTCCTGCCAAGCCTGCCGTAGCGTTACCCAGCCTGACGTGCTTTCCCCAGCCACGTTCCACACGTCTGCGATCCTCTCTATCATGGAATCATGACTGCGTGCGTCTAAGTCATACGTGGAGGAAGGTCTATAGGAAGGTGCGGAGGAAGGTGCGGCAGAAGGTGCTGCTGAGGAAGGTGCGGAGGAAGGTGCAGAGGATGCTGCGGAGGAAGGTGCGTGAGAAGGTGCTGCTGAGGAAGGTGGGGAAGAGGGGGAATATGAAGAGTGGGATGATGAGGGAGACTGAGGCGAGGAAGGCGACGATGGCACCGCTGGCAATGGCAAGACGACAGGTGACGCCTTCACTTGCTGGGCTTGCTGGAGAAGGGTCAAAAGGGGGCTGGCATCCAAAGCCCCAGAACCCGTTCCCCCCTCCTCTGCCCCTGTTTCCACTGCACCCCCAGCATGCCTCTCACTTTCCTCCTCCTCCCCTTTCCATGCGATCCCGGAAAGCCTCTCGTTTCCCTCCGTCTCCCCTTCCCACTTGATTCCGGGGAACTTGAACCTCCGAATGACAGAGGAAAACGATTGGGCAGAGACGTCAGGGGCCATGAAGTAGACGTGGGAGGTGACGCCGGTGGAGGCATGGAAGGGGTCCAGGTGCGGCGGGGAGGCTGATGAGAGGCGCAGGGCCTCGAGGAGAGTCCGCGCGCCCATGCTGTACGCCATCACGTGGACGGCCTTGGCTCCTACTTCGGTTGAGAGCATTTGGAGCAGGTCCTGTGGGATTGGGGGAACAGAAGAAACAGGGGAGCGGGGAACTTGACTGAACTTCTGAATAACAGAGGAGAAGGTAGCGACGTCAGGGGCCATGAAGTAGATGTGGGAGGTGACGCCGGTGGAGGCATGGAAGAGCGAGGAGAGGCGGAGAGCCTCGAGGAGCGTGCGTGCACCCATGCTGTATGCCATCACATGCACGGCTTTTGCTCCCACTTCGGTTGAGAGCATTTGGAGCAGGTCCTGTGGGCAGGTGGGATCGGCGAGTGGGGAGTGGAAGAGGGGAGGGAAGAGGGGAGGGAAGAGGGGAGGTGAGCAGCCATGTGTGCGCCCATGCTGCACACCATCACATGCCGAGCAATTGGGTGGGGATAATCCTGTGGGAGTGGGGCAGCGAAATAAGACCACGATCATCCCCAACCGCACTGACATGGATAATCACGATTCGAGAAACCAGGGGAAAAAAAAAAAGATACTGTACCCAGACAAAACTCAGTCAATTGAACGTAGTTACGTTACGTTATTACAAAACCAAGTACATACACTCTCAGGTCAGGAGTAGCCTGCATGCAGGTAACCTCATCCTGGCAAGACAGCCCCCAGCCCCACCGACACGGACAGACACTTCCATATACATATACATACATATGTGCAATTTACAATATTGAGTGTACTCACCCTGAGGTCGGGAGCAGCCTGCATGCAGGTGACCTCATCCTGGCGGTACAGGCCGATCACCCCCAGCCCCACCGACACGGACGGCTCCTACTCAGCGATATGAAGTCTTACTGTACGTGGATAAACACATATACATCAACACAGCATGAAGTGTAAAAGAAGCCCACTCACCCTGAGGTCAGGGGCGGCCTGCATGCAGGTGATCTCGTCCTGGCGGTACAAGCTAAGGACCCCCAGCCCCACCGACACGGACGGCCAGCCGCCCCTTATAAGACAGTTACGTACAGGTGTGATATCTAATACTACCAGTGCGCATGCCCACTCACCCTGAGGTCAGGGGCGGCCTGCATGCATGTGATCTCGTCCCGGTGGTACAGGCTGATCACCCCCAGCCCCACCGACACGGACGGCCAGCCGCCCCTTATAAGACAGTTACGTACAGGTGTGATATCTAATACTACCAGTGCGCATGCCCACTCACCCTGAGGTCAGGGGCGGCCTGCATGCAGGTGATCTCGTCCTGGCGGTACAGGCTGATCACCCCCAGCCCCACCGACACGGACGGCCGCCCCACGGTGGGCCAGCTGTACACCACCATGGGCCCGTTGAAATCAAGGCCTCGCTGGGAGGGGGAGGGGCGAGAGGCGGTTGAGAGAATTTCAATTGATAGAGGTACATGGTACACCAGCGACCAGCACAGACGGCCGCCCTACTGTGGGCCAGCTGTACACCTCCATGGGTCCGTTGAAGTCCAGGCCGCGCTGGGAAGGGGAGGGAGAGGGAGGGAGAGTGAGGGAGAGTGAGGGAGAGTGAGAGAAGACAGGTACACCAGTGATCAATCCGCCCCACCGTGGGCCAGCTGTACACCACCATGGGGCCGTTGAAATCTAAGCCTTGCTGGGAGGGGAGAGGGAGGGAGGAAAGGAGTGTTCGGGAGGGAAGTCTGAGTGATACACACACCGGCGATCAATCCAACAGCCGCCCCACCGTGGGCCAGCTGTACACCACCATGGGACCGTTGAAGTCAAGGCCACGCTGGGAGAGAGGAGGGGAGGCACGTGAGGGAGAAGTAGGAAAAATACACGGAATGACTGACCAATCCCAGCTCGCCCGCCCCACCGTGGGCCAGCTGTACACCACCATGGGACCGTTGAAGTCAAGGCCACGCTGGGAGAGAGGAGGGGAGGCACGTGAGGGAGAAGTAGGAAAAATACACGGAATGACTGACCAATCCCAGCTCGCCCGCCCCACCGTGGGCCAGCTGTACACCACCATCCATGGAACCGTTGAAGTCCAGGTTTCACAGCGGGGTCACTCAGTGCAAGACACAGTGAAGCACACAGTGGGTGGGACACACACTCAGGGGCGAAAAGGGGGAATGGAAGGGGCTCATCCTCGTACGTACCTGCATAAATGCTCCATAGCCCATGCCCCGGCTGAAATCAGTGAAGCAGCTGCAGGGAGGGAGACCACCACACAAGAATCACAATACAACATGAAAAAGGGCAGAGAGTGAGGGGCAAAGGAGATGGCAGCAGAGCAGACAAATCATTGTGAGCTCCACACATGGGTGCACGGGTGTGATACAATGATAAAAGAGTGCTGCGCACATACCTATACACATACACACCCATGCACATACCCATGCACATACATACCCATGCACATACCCATACCCACACACATACCCATGCACACACCCATGCACGTACATACCCATGCACATACCCATGCACGTACATACCCATGCACATACATACCCATGCACATAACCATGCACGTACATACCCATGCACGTACATACCCATGCACATACCCCCCCCCATACATACCCATGCACATACCCATGCACATAGACAAGCACTGCCTTGTTCTCATCGCGAGCCACTTGCTCTCGCAGCCGCTGCTTGAATGCCTCCGAGTCCATACTCGTTACAAGCTGCCCCTCTGCTTTCACCTGAGGCTTGCCATTAGGACAGTCCACCTGCAGTTACAAACAGAAACAAATACAAGTTTGTTCCTATTCCAAGCAATACACTCCATGCTGAGGATGGGGACGCTTGAACATCTCATATAATCATTCACGTCCACCATGTCAACATGCAGTACAGCGTCCATGAGCTTGCCAGCCATACCCCTTGCCCCTTCCTATCCTCTCTTTCCAGCAAACAAGTCCAAAACAGCTTTTAAAGGAAGCCAGAACAGCCCATGAGCTCGTCGTAGACCTTGGCCATCATCTCGTCCTTCCCAACCTATCCGTCTTGCACACACAGTGAGTGATGTTGAAACTTCAAAATTCCTCTCATGGCACTTTATTGTTACTCACATCCACCACGCCCACATGCAGGCCGGCCACAGTCCATGCCGTACACCTTGCCCATCTTCACACCCCTCTTTCTCGCAAAGCAGTTCAGAACAGCTTTCAACGGAAGCCAGAGCAGCCCATCACTCACATCCACCACGCCCACGTGCAGCCCACTGTCCATGTGCTTGCCGCGTACACCTTCCCATCTTCCCATCCTCTCCCCCTCTCACAGGGAGTCAGAACAGTCCCCCACTAACAAAGCACGAGAGCAGTCCATCACTCACATCCACCACGCCCACGTGCAGCCCACTGTCCATGTGCTTGCCATACACCTTGCCCATCCCCGCGTCCCCTCTCCCTCTCAAGGGAAGCCAGAGCAGCCCATCACTCACATCCATCGCACCAACATGCGAGTCACATTTGAGTCAATAAACACCAGATCACTCACATCCACCACGCCCACGTGCAGGTCACTGTCCATGAGCTTCCCGTACACCTTGCCTCCCATCCTCCCACCCCTTTCAGAAGACGCCAGAACCGCTTATCACTCACATCCACCACGCCCACATGCAGCCCACTGTCCATGTGCTTGCCGTACACCTTGCCCATCCCCGCGTCGTCCCACCTTCTCCCTCTCACACACGAGGTTAGTGATGTTGTACACTACTTATAACTCACATCCACCACGCCCACGTGCACGTCACTGTCCATGAGCTTGCCGTACACCTTGCCCGTCTTCTCGCCCCCTCTCCCTCTCAAGGGAAGCCGGAGCAGCCCATCACTCACAGCCACCACCACAGCGTGCAGCCCACCCAGAACTGACTCAGAAAACACCAGAGCACTCACATCCACCACGCCCACATGCAAGCCACTGTCCATGTGCTTGCCGTACACCTTGCCCATCTTCTCGTCCTCCCTCTCGCACACCCGGTTGGTGACGTAATAGACCTGAGGATGGGGCAAGAGCAAGGCAAGATGCAGGAAGTAAGCACATGAACTGGGCTAAGAGCCGTACACCCCGCCCTCTCCTTCTCATCCTTGGGTTGGAATGCCAGAGGAACCATACACGCATCGCCTCACCTGATGCGTCTCAGCAGCAAGCTCAGCGTTGCCCGATGACTTCTCTTTTAAACCCGTTCAAACCCGGAATCTCCCGCCATCCTAACCCCACCAGATCCTGCTCTTTCTTGCCTTGCAGCATCAGAGAAAGTTGGAACCATACACACATAGGCTTACCTGATGCGTCTCAGCAGCAACCTCAGCGTTCCCCTGTGACTTTTTCCTTCAACCTCAGGATCTCGCACCATTAAAACCTCAACAGCACCTGCTCTTTCTTGGCTTGCGGCATCAGAGCAACCATACACGCATCGGCTCACCTGATGCGTCTCAGCAGCAAGCTCATCATTCCCCGATGACTTCTGTTTCAAGCCCAGAATCTCCCGCCATCCGAACCCCACCATATCCTGCTCCTCCTTGGGCCGCAGCACCACGTCTCTCGGCTTCGCCAGCGACGAAACAGCCTCCGCGAACCGGCGACTGGTAACCAGACACCAGAAACCGCAATCGCTAGCCGTTGATCCGACGGATCCGCCATCCGTCATCTTGCGATGCCTGCTCCGTTCCGTCAGCGTTACTTTTTCCGTCAGCTCTCGTTATCTCTCAGCTTTCACTATCTGTCAACCGTCCGTTGCATTCGTGCTCGGCAAGAACCTGGGCCAATCAGGCTGCGTCACGAGTTTCGGAACATCTCAAAACTTGGACGACCAGACTCCTATGATTGGACGAGCAGACTCCTAAGGCATTACTCGATCCCCATTTGCAATTGACCGGGATCACTCTGGACTTGCTCGCACCCCTTCCCAGTCTGCCAGCTTTTCGCCAACTAATGAATGGGATCACTAATTACCGTGACGGACCGTGAAGTACCGCCTCAAGACATCAAATGACCCTCGCACATCCATCTACAGCATAACTTCACTGTACACAATCTCGCACTAATCCGCTCGAATCATCCACCCAGATTCCAGCTTCTGCCAGCGCGAAACTGCCTGCATCAACAGGCGTTGCGAAGTTCTCAAGGTTCCAGCCAGGTATGATCGGAACAGGCGGGAAAGATTTAGGAGACTTGTTGTCAGGCCCGACCAGGCGTCGCTGTGACTCCCCCAATCCCAATACCATTCCAAGAATTGAATTTCGAAGCCAGCCTAGAAAGCTCAATCGATGGGTGTGAGTGCAGTGCGATGTGCGTGTCGCACGCTCAATCGAACGTTCGAGTTACTGTATCATGTACAGCTAAATTCAAGGGTTAGACTTGTTAGCAAGAAACTATTTAACATGGGGGTGTAGCTCACATGGTAGAGCGATCGCTTCGCATGCGATAGGTAAGGGGATCGATACCCCTCTCCTCCACCATACTCGTTTTCAACCTTTTTACGATTTGAGATTCTGCCTTGCCCGAGGTGACTAGCACCTCGATATTCCAACCAGGACCTATTCGACTCCCGTTGCGCGTGATACGCTGCTTCTTCTTTTGCTCGCTGCTCGGTCGTGTGGCTCGTCGTCATGTCGCTGTGTCTTGTCCTTCCGTCGCCGACATTCATGTAGTCGTCTTCTGCGACCCTGTCCATTCTGGGATGTGGCTGGGTCCTCCTCATCTGACTTGTCCTCGTTTGTATGAAATTCGCTATTCGCCATGAAGCTTTTTAGGTCGCCGTGGGCGACCTTCGCTCTGGGAGCTGCTGCCGGCTCGTGCGCCGCGCTTTGTGCTTGGAAGCTCTACTCCGTCTACTCTGCTGACGAACCGTCTGAAATCGCGTTAGTATCCGCTTCGTCACAGGGTAGTAGGCTTGCCAATCTGCGGTCGATTGTCCGCGTTCTTTGCGGTTTTGTTGCGTCCCGTCGCGTATCTCGAATCTCACCTCTCCCATACCTCGCATCCCACCTCTCGCGCATTCCATCTGTCTCGCAACCCATCGCTCTCGCATCGCGTCTGTGTTACTCCGCAATCTTTGCGGACCTAGGACTGACAAGCATGAATCTTGTTTTTTTTAGAATTCTCAAAAAAAAAAAAAAAAAAAAAAAAAATGCCTTCCATCCATCTGCAGTCTTTGCGGACCGAGGGCTGACAAGCATGACCCTCTCTCGTATAGAGTACTCCTTCCATTAGCGGCGTTTGAGTTGTCTAAATAGAAGGACTCTTTTATTTCCTTTCTCTCCATCATTTCCGTTCCTTCCTTTTCACTCCATCCAGGTACAGTTTTGGCCATGCGGGTCTGGCCTCACTACAGCTTGCAGCAGCAGAGGAGCTAGAGCCGCATCATCATCAGCAGGAGGAGCAGCAGCAGCAGCAGCAGCAGCAGCAGCAGCAGCAGCACCAGGAGAAACAGAGTAACGAGCAGCCCCTGAAACCACCTGAAGAATCACCTGATGCTGACCCAGCTCCTGCTGCCGCAGGAATTTCTCGTCCTTCTGAATTGCAGCATGGTGCTAGCAGTCAGGAACCTTCTGGTGGGGGGGAGACACGTGGCAGTGGCGGATTGGATGGCCAGGATCTTGCCAGCCTGGCAGCGGCTGATGATGACATCATCGTGGAGCAGTTCACCAGGCACGCGTTTTAAGCACCTTCATTATAAGCACGCCCATTTCTGTTTCTGAGCTTTCTATGTCCACCAACTAAGCTCAATTTTGAAGCAATTCCATACTTTCGTATAATTTCCTGGTTTTACATCACTGCCCTATTCCCACTTGACCCCACTCTCTTCCCCCTCCTTTTCGCTCTCCCCCCCCCTCACCCCCCTCCCTTCCTTTCCCCCTTCTTCCCCCACTTTCCTTCCTCACTGACCTTCCTTCACCTCTCCCCCTTCCCCTCATCGTTGCCGGGCAGGAACATTCAAATGTTTGGTCTGCCCGGCCAGCTGGCAGTGCACAGGGCGTTTGTGGTGGTGGTGGGGCTGGGGGGGGTGGGCAGCCATGCAGCTGCCGCGCTGCTGAGGTGTGGCGTTGGCCGGCTGAGACTCGTTGACTTTGACCAGGTGCGTTGGCTTTGGTTGACTTGGGTTGACTCGGGTTGACTGGGATTGACTGGGTGGCGTTTGTGGTGGTGGTGGGGCTGGGGGGAGTGGGCAGCCATGCTGCTGCGGCGCTGCTGAGATGCGGCGTTGGCAGACTGAGACTCGTTGACTTTGACCAGGTACTGTTTACCCTGTTGACTCTGCTTGACTTGGGTTAACTCGCCGTGCCTCGAATTGCCAACCTGTTGCTGCCACGCGAGCAGATGTGGGAATCTCCAAGGCGCAGTGCATGAGAGAGCATGTCCTCATCCCCCCTCTTCCCCCCTCTTCCCCCTCCTTGTCCCCCGACCCCAACTCTCTTCTCCCCACAGTTGTCCCTGTCATCCCTCAACCGCCATGCCGTCGCCATGCGGGCAGATGTGGGAGTCTCCAAGCTGTGGTGCATGAGAGAGCATTTCCTCCTTCTCCTCTTTCTTTTCTCCCCATCCACCCTCTTTCTCGCCCTCTGTTTCCCCCCTATTTCCCCACCCCACAGGTGTCCCTGTCATCGCTCAATCGCCATGCCGTCGCCACGCGGGCAGATGTGGGGATTCCCAAGGCGCAGTGCATGAGGGAGCATTTCCTTCGCATCCTGCCTCCCTCCCTTCCCCCTTTCCCGCCCCACAGGTGTCACTGTCCTCACTGAATCGCCATGCGGGCAGATGTTGGAATCTCCAAGGCTCAGTGCATGAGGGATCATTTCCTCCCCCTCCCCTCTGCCTCACCCCCTTTTTCCTCCTCTCCCCCCTCTCTTCCCCCAACTGTTACCCCACAGGTGTCCCTGTCGTCTCTCAATCGCCATGCTGTTGCCACGCGGGCAGATGTGGGTATTTCCAAGGCGCAGTGCATGAGGGAGCATTTTCTTCGCATCCTGCCCGAAGCACAAGTGGAGGGGATGACGGCCATGTACACGGAGGAGAACGAGGAGAAAGTTTTGTCCGGGCAGCCCGACTATGTCGTGGACTGCATCGACAACATCGACACAAAGGTTGGTAATTAAATCGAATCATATCGATTCTAATAAAAGAGAAAATGATCAACTTGATTCCGCAGCTGCTACATACTCATTTGGCGATGTGCACGAAATCATTAGGCGACAAACGGAGCAAAGCAAAGTTGCACGCCGCAGCTGCCTCGTGAGAATAGCAACTGCTTTGCAAAGTTGCGTGAAACTAAGCAAAGCAAACGCAGCTGCCTCGTGAGAATTCTGAGCGATTTTTGAGCAATAGCAACCCCAAGGCATCAACGCCCCTAGCACACTATTTCTTTTTCTCGCTCTTCTCCTCACCACTCGCGCTGCCCTCATTCTGTGTGCGCTGCGGCCTGCCTGTCATCAGCGCCGTGGGGGCCAGCATGGGCTGCAGTGATAGCAACCCCACAACCACAAGGCCCCACGTCCCTCCTCACTCACCATTTTTTTCCTGCCTCCTCCTCCCCTTCATCTTCCGCAGGTGGCGCTGCTCTCAGCCTGTGTGCGCCGCGGTCTGCCGGTCATCAGTGCCATGGGGCGGGCGCTCGGGCGGACCCCACTCGCATCCAAATTGCCGACACCCCAACGCCCCCCACGCCCCCAACACCTGCTTCTCTTTTCTTATTCACAGGTCGCCCTCCTCTCAGCCTGTGTGCGCCGTGGCCTGCCTGTCATCAATGCTATGGGGGCAGGCAGGGGCTGATGCGATAGCAGCCTCAATCCCCCATGGCCCCTCACCCACAGCGTTCTTCCATGCTCCCCCCTCTCCTTGTTCTTCCCACAGGTGGCTCTTCTATCAGCCTGTGTGCGCAGCGGTCTGCCGGTCATCAGTGCCATGGGGGCAGGCGCTCGGGTGGATCCTACTCGCATCCGAATCGCTGACACCCCAACGCCCCCCACTGCCCCCAACACCTCCTGCTTCTCTTTTCTTCTTCTGCAGGTCGCTCTTCTATCAGCCTGTGTGCGCCGCGGTCTGCCGGTCATCAGTGCCATGGGGGCGGGTGCTCGCGCAGACCCCACTCGCATCCAAATCGCTGACACCCCACCGCTCCCCAACATCCCCACCGCCCCCAACACCTCCTGCTTCTCTTTTCTTCTTCTGCAGGTCGCTCTTCTATCAGCCTGTGTGCGCCGCGGTCTGCCGGTCATCAGCGCCATGGGGGCAGGCGCTCGGGCCGACCCCACTCGCATCCGCATTGCTGACATCAGCGAGTCGTCTATTGACCCACTCTCGCGCGCGGTGAGCCACTGACCGTTGCTCAATTGCTCCCTCCTCTCATTGCTGAGAGGGTCTGCCGGTCGTCAGTGCCATGGGGGCTGGCGCTCGGGCCGACCCCACTAGCATCCGCATCACTGACATCAGCGAATCATCCATCGACCCGCTCTCCCGTGCTGTGAGGCAACTACCCCCCCACCCACTCACCCCCCTTCACCCAACCCCATTCTGGTGAATGTACCTCTGTCTGTCTTTTCTGTTGGTAACTGTGTGGGGTGGATCGACTGTGCGTGCTGTGGCATTAGAGAGTCGTCCATCGACCCGCTCCCACGTGCGGTGAGGCAACTACCCCTCCACCCCCCCAACCCCGCACCTGCTGCACTGCACCCTTTCTTGGTCGCTGGCATTAGAGAGTCGTCCATCAACCCTCTCTCACGTGCAGTGAGGCTGTGACCCCCCCACCCACCCCACCAACCCCCCCACCACTTAAATAAGTTTCAAGAAATATGCATGTATGACTTTGAATATGTAAGCATATTTGGACAACATACATGTGCAAGCATACATCAAATCGTCACCATCCAATTCAACCCACCCCTGCAGGTGCGGCAGCGGTTGCGCAAGGCGCTGGGGGCAGCAGCAGCAGTGGAGGCGGTGTTTTCTCTGGATCGCCCCAAGGCCAAGCTGCTGCCTGTGGGGGATGGGGACGGCTCCTTGCAGCCTGCCGACCTCCAGGTGAGAAGCTGTGAGGTGTCACAGACCGAAGGCACTGGGGGCAGCAGCAGCAGTAGCAGTGGAGGCGGTGTTTTCTCTGGACCGCCCCAAGGCCAAGCTGCTGCCCGTGGGGGATGGGGACGGCTCCTTGCAGCCTGCTGACCTCCAGGTGAGAAGCTGTGAGGTGTCACAGACCGAAGGCACTGGGGGCAGCAGCAGCAGCATCAGTGGAGGCGGTGTTTTCTCTCGACCGCCCCAAGGCCAAGCTGTTGCCGGTTGCTGACGATTCCCTGCAACCCGCTGACCTTCAGGTGAGAGTGTTGAAGCTGTGACATATCAGAAGAGATTAAGATGCTGAATTCAGCAGCAGCAGCAGCAGCAGCAGCAGCAGCAGCAGCAGCAGCAGCAGCAGCAGCAGCAGCAGCAACAGCAGCAGCAGCAGCAGCAGCAGCAGCAGCAGCAGCAGCAGCAGCAGCAGCAGCAGCAGCAGCAGCAGCAGCAGCAGCAGCAGCAGCAGCAGCAGCAGCAGCAGCAGCAGCAGCAGCAACAGCAGTGGAGTGGAGGCGGTGTTTTCTCTCGATCGCCCCAAGGCCAAGCTGCTGCAAGTTGCTGACGATTTCCAAGTGATGTTCAGGTGCTTTTCATGTGTTTCCCCTGGTGCTTTTTCTGGTGATTGTCTAGGAAAATATTCTGGCCTTGATTGAGCTCAATGCATAGCATATCAGCAGCAGCACCAGAAAGCATCGGGTCTGGCAGAAATTTGGAGGAACAGCAACCGTTTTTTTTCTTCTCTTGCAACCCCTTATCATCATACTTGTTGCAGGTGGTCTCAGGATGGAACATGTAAACTGATACATCGGCCTGCCACAATTTTTTCTTCTTCTTTTCCCCTCTCCATCGTATCCATTCCCCATCCATCCATACTCGTTACAGGTGGTTCCAGGGTTCCGTGTAAGAGTCATCCCCGTGCTGGGAACCATACCTGCCATGTTTGGTCTGGCGCTGGCGACACGTGTGGTCACCTCATTGGCCGGAATGGACGTGGGATTTGAGCCGGTGCTAAGGCTCAGTGCAGACCATTACTCACTGCTGCACCAACGACTGGTGGAGAGAGAGGAAATGCAGTTTGGATCGGCAAGTGAAGTGGAGGTGAGTGTGTGCGGGTGAGGTAGTGTCAATGTGGGATTTGAGCCGGTGCTAAGGCTCAGTGCAGACCATTACTCGCTGCTGCACCAGAGGCTGGTGGAGAGGGAGGAGGCGCGGTTTGGGTCAGCCAGTGAAGTCGAGGTGAGTTCTGTGTGGGTGAGTGTGCGTGGGTGAGTGTGTGTGGGTGAGTGTGTGTGGGTGAGTGTGTGTGGGTGAGTGTGTTCATGTTGGGGTGTGTGTGGTGAGGCTGAGTGCAGACCATTACTCGCTGCTGCACCAACGACTGGTGGAGAGGAAGGAGATGCGGTTTGGCTCAGCTAGTGAAGTGGAGGTGAGTTCTGTGTGGGTGAGTGTGTGTGGGTGAGTGTGTGTGGGTGAGTGTGTGTGGGTGAGTGTGTTCATGTTGGGGTGTGGGTGGTGAGGCTGAGTGCAGACCATTACTCGCTGCTGCACCAGAGGCAGGTGGAGAGGGAGGAGATGCGGTTTTGATCGGTTAGTGAAGTGGAGGTGAGTTCTGTGTGGTTGAGAGTGAGTAGGGGTGAGTGTGTGTTTTAATGAAAGTCTGTGGGGGTGAGAATGTGTGGAGGAGGGAGAGGCAGAGTGCGGGCCATACTTGCTGGTGGATAATGGGAGCGTCATGGGCATGTGCATGTGCATGTGCATGGGCATGTGCTTGTGCATGGGCATGTGCTTGTGCATGGGCATGTGCTTGTGCATGGGCATGTGCTTGTGCATGGGCATGTGCTTGTGCATGGCATGTGCTTGTGCATGGGCATGGGCATATCATGTGCATGGGCATGTGCATATCCCTATTTATGTGGGTATGTGTTTGCATTTGTGCCCAGGTGGACATTGATGACGTCATGTTTCCACCCCTTCCATATGCGTGCGCCCGTATCCCTATCCATGCGTGTGTGTGTGTGTGCACAGGTAGACATTGATGACATCATGTCTGTCCGTGTGTGCCTATCCATGGGTGTCCCTATGCACAGGTGGACATGGATGACGTCATGTTTGTGGTGAGAGAGGTGTGGCGCGGCCGCAGCGCGTGGCAGCTTCTCCGAGAGAAGGAAGCTGCTGAGAATCTTCTTCATAGCCGGTCCGGCGAAGGTGCGGGCGATGTTGGATCACAGGAGGAGGAGGAGAAGACACGGGGAGAGCAGAGAGGAGAGGGGGAAGAAGGGGGGGGCATTCAGGGGCAGGGAGAAAGTGCAGGGGGCACTCAGGAGCAGAATCTGGGAAATGGAGAAATGGCAGAGGAGCAACGGGAAGATCCGGAGAGAGAACATAGGAGGCAGGAGAATTGGACTCAGGAGCAGGGAAGGAGCGGACAGCAGCAGCAGAGGAAGAAGGGGGAGCGTAGAAAACGGGCTATGAAATCTGCTGGTGAAAGAAATGGGCGTGGTGGTGGAGGGAGAGGAGGAGGTGGGAAAGGAGGAGGTGGGGGAGGAGGAGGCATGGATGTAGGGCGAGCAATCTGGCGGTCCATGGGGCACATGACTCTCACCAGGTGTGTTGGAATCTCTTTGGAAGTCACTTCTTGGGTCACTTCTGGAATCAGTTCTGCGGTCACTTCTGGAGTCACTTCTGGGGTCACTTCTGGGGTCACTTCTGGGGTCACTTCTGGGGTCACTTCTGGGGTCACTTCTGGGGTCACTTCTGGGGTCACTTCTGGGGTCACTTCTGGGGTCACTTCTGGGGTCACTTCTGGGGTCACTTCTGGGGTCACTTCTGGGGTCACTTCTGGGGTCACTTCTGGGGTCACTTCTGGGGTCACTTCTGGAGTCACTTCTGGAGTCACTTCTGGAGTCACTTCTGGAGTCCCTTAAAAAGTGTTTCCAATTTAATCTGGCGGTCCATGGGGCACATGACTCTCACCAGATATATATATGCTCATATTGTTTCCCCCTTCCTGAAGTTGTTTCTTCTTTCCCTGCCCATACCTGGTCCACACAAAACCACCACCAAGTCTCCAAATCTCTTTGTTCCACTTGAGATGCCTGGACTACCGGTAAATCTAGTTTTCGGGCGCCTCAAAACTAGATGCCTGGACTACCGGTAAATGGGGCCGTTTTCCCTGCCTCGTGTGGTGGCTGTGTGGCAGGTGGAATGCGGCTCTCCCTCCCACCATCGACAATCTTGTCCTCTTCACATTTGACGAGGTACGCACACAAAACATCGATCACGCTGCAGCTTCGCTCTCGTGATGAGGTGCCTTGGACAACACATTGCCAGACTTCATGACTGCAGCTACAGGATCAGCGCAATGCTCAAACGTGGTGACTTTTGAGTCGACTCAAAAGTCGCCAGATTTCATGACTGCAGGTACAGAATCAGTGCAAGCCTTAAAACTTAAACCCTGCACTGTCTCACTGCCCGGCTTCCCTTCTTGTGCAGGCGGAAGCACACGAGGCGATGGCATTAGAGGATGTGGAAACTGAGCAGCCAGAGCTCTTTCAATTGGTGGACGCCACGCTGGAGAGAGCTCGGAGATTGTACACATAGAGGCTAGAATGGGTCACTGAGTTATGATATGTATACTCAAGTTGTAACAGCAAGTGACTCTGGTCAGCAGGTGGAAATTGAGCAGTCAGAGCTCTTCCGATTGGTTGATGCTCAATGGAGCGGGCTTGGAGATTGTACACAAAGAGAGGTTGGGTGGTGTAGTGTGGGTCTGGACTCGCTCTACTCTCGCAACTTTGCAGTAGTTGCTTCTTGTGAATGAGTGATATTGTAACACCGTCACTTGTAGTGACCACAGTTGTGTTGTGTGCATTTGCTGCTTGCCTGCTTGGTGCAATCTGTTTCTACCAAATTACAGCTTTTTGAAACACTCGGTATACTTTCAAGTACGATTCCTGATACAGATCTTCGCACCAGATCGCAAACCATGCGGCCAGCTTAGTCGAGGGTCACACCCTGCATACACAACAAAGCATAAGGGTCACAAGGGGTTCAATGGGAGCCAAGATGGAGCTAAATCAACAATCAAAGCAGATGCGAAAAAGAATTCGGAATGCCTCACCTGAGGAGGTTCAAACCTGGTGTGTGGAAATACCTTACCTCTAGAGGTAATGGCTCACCCAGAGAAAAAACCCTCACCTGGGGGGGGTCGAACTTGGCTCCCTGCTCGCTGAGCTGCTTGTGGGACTGGGCATAGTGGCAAAAACGGCCGCCTGGTCTGAAGGGATAGCTTAACCTGGGGTAATGCCTCACTGAAGGGAAATGCGTCACCTGGGGGGTTGTCTCACCCATGGGAACCTCACCTGGGGGGGTCGAACTTGGCTCCCCGCTCGCTGAGCTTCTTGTGGGACTGGGCATAGTCGGCAAAGCAGGCCGCCTGGTCAGCGGCGTACTTCTCTGCGTGCATCTTGAAGCCCGGATCCTCAAACAGGGCGGCGTCCGTGGGCAAAGAAAACCGCCTGCTTGGGAATACCTCACCCAGGGGAGAAGTCTCACCTGCAGGGGAATGGCTCACTGGAGGAGAATTCCTCACCTGGGGGGGGTCCAACTTGGCTCCCAGTTCGCTGAGCTTCTTGTGGGACTGGGCATAGTCGGCAAAGAAGGCCGCCTGGTCGGCGGGAATAGCTTAACCTGAGGGGAATACCTCACCAGGGGGGATGCCTCATTCGGGGGAGATTCTTGCACGGAGGGGAGGGTGTCTCACCAGAGGGAAACACCGCTCCAGGGAGAAAGGCCTCAGCTGGGGGGGGGTCGAACTTGGCGCCCTGCTCGCTGAGATTCTTGTGCGACTGGGCATAGTCCGCAAAGAAAGCTACCTGGTCCGTGAGGTTACCTTACCTAGGACCTAGATGTAATGGCTCCTCCGCGGAAAAAGGCCTCAGCTGGGGGGGGGTCGAACTTGGCGCCCTGCTCGCTGAGATTCTTGTGCGACTGGGCATAGTCCGCAAAGAAGGCAGCCTGGTCTGCTAGAACATCATAACCCGGGGAAGGGAATTCCTCACCCGGGGAGGGAAAGCCTCACCTGGGGGGGGTCGAACTTGGCGCCCTGCTCGCTGAGCTTCTTGTGCGACTGGGCATAGTCCGCAAAAAAGGCCGCCTGGTCGGCGGCGTACTTCTCCGCATGCACCTTAAAGCCCGCGTCCTCAAACAGTGCGGCGTCTGTCGGCAGCACCAGCAGCTCTGCGTCCTTCTTCTCCTTGATGTCCTGGGGGAGGGGGGGAGAGGGGGAGTGCGGGCGGGGCAGAGGTTGAGCCCCAGCCGAGTGCTCCTCTGGGTCCGAGGGCAGCACCAGCAGCTCCGCGTCCGTCTTTTCCTTGATGTCCTGGTGGGGGGGGGTGAGGGAGAGGGGGGAGGGGCGGTAGGGGCAGCGTTTGGTTGAGCCCAGCCCAGCAGAGTGCTTTTCTGTGTCTGTCGGCTGCACCAGCAGCTCCGCGTCCTTCTTCTCCTTGATGTCCTGTTGGGGGGAGAGGAGGGGGGACGGAGCACCTTAAAGCCCCGCAGACTGCTTCTCAGCGTACACCTTGAAGCCCGCTTCTTCAAACAGGGCGGCATCGGTGGGTAGTACCAGCAGCTCCGCGTCCTTCCTCTCCTTGATTTCCTAGTGGGTGGGAGAAGGGGGGAGGAGTTGTCGAATCTGAGCCACTCCACCGTCCAGGACTGGCCGCCGGGCAGAGAAGAGCAGAGCAGGCCTCCTGTCGGCCAGGCCAGAGTACTGAGGAGGTCCAACTTTCACCCCGCCCAGAAGGGTATATGAGGACCAGGTGGAAGGGAGTGAGACTCACCGTGAAGTAGGAGTTGTCGAATCGCAGCCACTCCACCGTCCAGGACTGGCCGCCGGGCAGACCAGGGCCGTCCTTCTGCAAGCGTTGAAGAGATTCGACGGGGAAGGGGAGGTGGCGGGGACAATGGGTGCAAAAATGTCGAGAAGGAAAAAGAAGGAAAGGGAGAGGGGGCAGCAGGTGAGGGAAGCAGAGGGTGAGAGGGGGTGGGGTGGGATTGAGAGTGGTGCCCCATCAAGCGAGCACCCTTGGAAACAGAAACAGAATTACCAACTCAGCACCAATTGTATCACCACCAGCACCACCGCACCCAGCACCCCTCGCATATCTCACCGTGTACTTGGTCTCTGCCTTGCCCCACCCACTCGTCTCCGGCCAACTTCCAGTTCGCACTACCAGCACCCAGCACCATCAGCACCCCCAGCATCCCAGCATCCCAGCATCCCAGCATCCCAGCATCCCAGCATCCCAGCATCCCAGCATCCCAGCACCCCCAACATCCCAGCAGGCCCAGCAAGCCCAGCGCCCCTTGCATATCTCACCGTGTACTTGGTCTCTGCCTTGCCCCACCCACTCTTCTCCAGCCAACTTCCACTTTGCACTACCACTACACCCAGCACCTGCAGCACCACCAGCGCCCCTTGCATATCTCACCGTGTACTTGGTCTCTGCCTTGCCCCACCCGCTCCTCTCCAGCCGACGAACAGCTTGCACTAGCGCTACTCCCAGCAGCACCAGCACCAGCAGCACCAACACCACACACCACAGCACCACCACCACCAGCGCCCCTTGCACATCTCACCGTGTACTTGGTCTCTGCCTTGCCCCACCCGCTCCTCTCCGGCCGAGAGCGCCCCAGAGTATGCGCGCCAGACAGGGCAACAATATCCTGTGATGGGGGTAGGATGGGCAAAGATACCGTTTTTTTTCTAATGAAAGCCTGAACCCGTGGGGCCCAATGGGGCAGAATTTTCCTGTCATGAGGGCAGGGCCGATAGGTGCAGAGTTTCGGGTTTGGGGTAGAAGATTGCAAAGCCCGAGGTTCTGAACAGGCAACCACTGTGACAGCTTTGAGACGATTCAAAGTACACTCACTCTGCGGATGTGTCAAACACACTGTTGCCAAGCCTCATGGAACGCATCATCCCGTACGGGGTATAGAACCACTGCGTTGTAACTTACCTTGTCATCGAGGCCCATGCGGTGGAACACCTTGTGCCTAAAAACACGTTGCCATTAAAATCACATTACCGTATTATCACAGTGCGTTATTCTCACCTTGTCGTCAAGGCCCATGCGGTAGAACACCTTGCGCAGGTGATCAGCAGGAGATGGCGGGCCGGCATCTGTTGGTGGGGAAGGGGGGGGGGGAAGTGCGGTGCAGGGGGTGGGGTGCAGGGATTGAGGTGCAGGGAGTGCGGTAGAGGGGGATGGGGATGTGAATTGACATGGGGATGGGGATGGGGATGGGGATGGGGATGGGGATGGGGATGGATATGGGTATGGGGATGGGTAAGTGGATGGGTATGTGGATGGGTATGTGGATGGGTATGTGGATGTCGATGTAGACGTGGCACACATGACATGAAGATGAGATGATGCGGCATGGGGTGGAGGACTGCGCAGCGCGTGCATCAAGCACAGGGCACAAGGAGCTAAGTACATGAAGCACAGAGCTGCGGGGAGAGGGGGCATGGAGCACAGAGCTGCGGGGAAGGGGGCATACCTGGGAGGGTGCCGTCAGGAGTGCAGTGCTCGGGTCCGTTGGCGTCCACACGGCCGTACTTCATCGGGATCTTGGGACCTCCTGCGAGCTGTCAGAGCGGCAGCACATGCATGCACGCAGCATCAAAACACATGCATACAGCATCACACATTCATACACACAGCATCACACACATACACAGCAGCACTCACACATATATACAGCACCAAAAGACACATATACAGAAATACGACACACATCCATACATGCAGCATCACAACGCATACAGCAGGGCGCGGACACAGGAGGAAGAAACAACTTTTCGAGTAAATTCTACCGTTCTCATCCCTTGGCATGCCGTTCACATGGCGGCATTCGAAGCTTGGGGCCTCCGTCGAGTTGACAGAGGACATAAAACAGATGAGAGGAGTGGGCAGTTGGATGTTTAACGACTTATATACCCAGTGGATTCCTCTTCATCTCATGAATGTCAACGGATAGGACCTGACAGCATGAGCATGAGCGGAGGCACGGACGCACCTCGACAGCCGTCGCGCTGGCGAGCTGGAAGAGGTCGGCGTAGCTCACGGCGGGGTACTTCTCCTTGATGGGCTCCAGGAGAGCAATGGCGCTCGCCAGACCTGCGGGGGGGGAACAGACGGCAGGGAAGGGGATGTGGGGGTTGGGGAGAATGAGAGAGACGAGACAAAGAGCCGTAGCTGACGGCGGGGGTACCGTAGTTCTGAAAAGGTGTGGAAGGAACTGGGAAGCATCTACTACACGTGTCACACGTGACGTGTGCGCGGGCCGTACCAGCACTGGCGCCATGCTCGAGTTCGGGCTTGAAGCGGATGCTGGCCGTAGCGCCGCCCGCCATGGTTATTTTTTTAGTCGACTTATAAGCTAGCTTGGTTAATTGTCACACACATTCTGAGTGGAACCAGCAGTCAATTCGTACCAGCATTGGCGCCATGCTCGAGTTCGGGCTTGAAGCGGATGCTGGCCGTAGCGCCGCCCGCCAGGGGCCACTCGGCGATGCTCTTGGTGTACGTGCCCGCGTCGTGCCAGCCCAGACGGATCTGCGCACACACGAGCAGGAATGAGCAGGGGAAAACCTTTGAGATGTCTTGAAGCCGCCCGCCAGGGACCACTCGGCGATGCGCCTGGTGTACGTGCCCGCGTCGTGCCACCCAAGACGGATGTTCGCGCCCACGGGGGAGGAAGGGAATAGAGAAAATTTGTAACGGCTGCGATCTGGACTCGACACCCGGAAGATAGAAAACCGTTTTTGTTTCGGTTGGAAACACAAGGATATGCTCAGGTCAGAGGGTTCGTAAGGCATTCGTACAGTCATTTCAACTTTCTGACGCGGCAATTCAATTATAACAAAAGCGCGCGTGCATGTATGTATCTTATATGAGTGTTACAAGTGTAGCGACCCTTGCAAGTGGATCCGTATTAGCATTCTCGTACCAGGATGGGGTTGCAGTGCTTGCTCTTGATAAGCTCCTTGATCTCCTCCCTGGCTCGCTGCAAGCAAAAAACTCTAACTACTCTGCACTTTCGTACCAGGATGGGGTTGCAGTGCTTGCTCTTGATAAGCTCCTTGATCTCGTCCCTCGCTCCGCGCAGCTGCTCCACGTCAGCAGACGCGCGTGCACCGGTCGAGCTCGCGGACCTCCTCAGGAAGGCGGTACCGCTCAGTTGAGCAGGCGCAGCCTGACGTGGAACACAAAATCGTATCATACTGATTTGATTCGTAACAAAAGGCGTTGAACAATCGAGGTCGCTGACATCCTCAAGAATGCGGTACCACTGAATTGAGCAGGAGCAGCCTGTCGTGGAATTCACAGGATTGTATAAGGCATATCAGGAACCAACACGCTGACTTGGTGAGATATATTTTTTGTCATCTGAGAAGGAGCACGCTAACCACGGGATGCACAGTTTGTAGGATTTGGACATTAACCGTTGAAGTGATTCGACCATGTTATTATTTAGATTCTCGCGCTACCGATCCTGATAAGCTTACACACGAATGTTTCCCGCACTGGGTTTCTTACATTGAAACCGGAGCCCGAGAACTCCGACTGCAGCACAGAGGCTTTGCTAAGCGTCGCGGTCTTGGATCCCGCGAAGGACGCCGAGTGCAGTCGCCTGGCAGCAGCACGGAATGGCGAGCGAATGCCGGGGAAGGCAGACGCAACGGCGGACTGGAGGTGGACGGCGGCCATGGCGTGGAACGAGCAGACAGAAACTAGTTGTTCTGCTGTTCTTTGGTGTGTTCAGGGAATATATTGCTTTGCAGCAATGTCCTAGAGATTATGATCAATGCAGTTTTGAAGCTTGCTGATTTCAGCTTCTTGCTGACATCCGGGAGATTTCGGATTCATGAAGTCGCATTTCCTTGAAATTGCCGGTCACCCAGTTTCGAGAAATGCACTTTCGCGAAGCATCTGGCATAGAGATTGGATAGGAGACACAGGCTACCGAATCGTTATGTGGCACCTGGAAATGTGCCGAGTGTGTCAGCCAGCCTGCCCTGGTTCACGAACCACCTGCGCTCTAGGGAGAGCCAGCGTGGAGAAGCTAATTGGCGAAGCTTATTCGTGTACAGTCAAGGCGAATAGATGTTCGACAGCTCAGAAGGCAGTTACACATCAGCGAGTTTTGGGAATTGCAGTTACACTGTTACCATGGAATTTTCTAGAAGCTGACTAAGGACGCGCAAGGAGGAATGCTGGTTGGTCAGTTCAGTTGCTGTCAGAGCGGTTACACCAAACCCGATTCGCTGCAGTCCCACCGCCTGCCATTGTTTTCTGGGCAGATAAAACTCTAGGATAATATTAACCTTCTTTGAAGACGTAAAGTTGACTGCGTCGAACCCGTCTACGCAGTTGCTCTGGTTTTTACTAAAATCAGTGTGCCTTGCTCAGAATACATGGGTACGGTAAGGTACATTACATTCCCCATCCCAGGCTGGTCAAATGTCACCGACAACCAGGGCGCCAAACGTCCCAGGACCCAGGGGGTCAACCGTGTCGCAGGCGCTCCCGCAATGTGGTGCGCTGATGGCGCAAGATGAAATTCAGGAAGGCACCGCCCCGCACGAAACGGCACCAATAATGTCCTCCCATTCCACCTTGCTCCACCCCTCCCCCATCTCGTCAAATTCCGCGCACCACCCGCCTCTCTCTCATTCCTCTTCCCCCAACCTGACCTCACCGAGGCCGCATTCACACGCCACAACCAGACGACGGACCGAAATTTTGCTTGGAAGAGGGAAATCAAATCAGGCTGTATCCCATAACACAAGTTTCATTCGAAGTGCCAACCTTGCTGGTAGTACACGACGGGATCATCACACCACCATTCCCACAATTATCGTACCTCGCCATCCATCCTCCCACCACAAACCAGCAAATAAAATGATCACCACTTGCTTGCCGTCGCTTCATGTGAGTGACCCTGACCAGCGTCCTACTTCGTTCTGACCAGGGAAGCCTCGAGAATTATTTTCGCACGCACCTATCGTATTGCACACTTTTGTCGAGCACAAGGTTCTGACGCGTAGTCGATTCTCCAGACTCACGTTCAGTACAGGCCTCGTCGACTTTTTTGTGAATATCCTCTTCGGCTTTAGCTCCTTATAAGTGCTTATATTAAGACTGTCAGCCGTTCGCCTCGTCACGTAGATCAGATTCGCAATGGCTCGAGTACCGGGGAAAGGTCTGGTGGCTCTTCTGCTCGTTGCTGTCGTCAGCTTGCTGTACGTGACGCAAGTCGCGTCAGCTTATACCGGGTACCAGCAGTTGGTAGCGAAGCTGACGAAGAAGGGATACAGCACCTCCCTAGCCGCGTGGCAAACGTCTGGTGAGTCACGACTTGCGAAAACTTCGGCCGCTGTTTCCTTTCTATTTTCTATGGTCAAGGTGTTAGCACTGTGTTTGTAACATTTTTATCGGAAAGTTGTGAACTTTCTTATATGGTCAACAAAAATATTGAGAAGCCAGAAGGTAGCAGCACCTTCGTTAGATTTGATCTTGTAATAACCAAGTTATCTACACAGGAGTCTGGAGATCCATTTTCCTGTCTTTCAGGTTTGAAAACGAAAGAAAGAGAGAGAGAAAAAGAGAAAGAAATAACGAATCCGAGCTCGTGCGGACAAGCGGAGGCGCGTAGGCGCTGACTGCGATTATTCTTCTGACTTCCACTGTCTGTCTCTCTCTCCTCCCCCATCCCTCTCCTCTTCCGCCTACTCTCCCTGTCACGCTCTGCTCTCCCCCAGGGCTCAACAACACGCTCAAGCAGTTCCTCCCAACGTCCAAACTGATGGTGCTCGTGCCGTCTCTTTCGCATGTCACCGTGTGTGTATGACTCTCTTTCACCTCCCCCCTGCTCACCAACCCCCTCGCTCTGCTCTCCTCCAGGCCTCAACAACACGCTCAAGCAATTCCTGCCAATTTCCAAGATGACACTGCTGGTGCCGCGAGACAGTGCGTTTGACCCACCTCAATTTCTCCGTCTCCCGTCCCCCTTTATAGGCCTGAACAACACGCTCAAGCAGTTCCTGCCAACCTCCAGACACTGCTGGTGCCGCCTCGTTCTCATACTTCCGTCTCCCTCTCGCCTCCCCATCCCCCCCGGTTCCCCAACCCTCCTTCAGGCCTGAACAACACACTCAAGGAATGGCTCCCAAAGTCTCAGATGACAATACTTGTGCCGCGCAACAGCGCGTTTGACAAGCTCACGGGCAGCTTCCAGTACTCGAAGCTCAAGAAGAACCCATCGGCGCTGCTGCAGGTCATGTCGTTCCACGTGTGGAGTCAACGCTTCTACCAATCCTAGCTAGACGCGCTGAAAGTGGGAACGCGGGTACGAATGGCAACTTTTTTCGCAGTTACGAATGGCGACTTGTTTGGCTGAGTTTCAGGTGTATTTCTCTCGGTATGCTTAACGCATCGCTGAGATGTCTCCACTCAGGACGCGCTGAAAGTGGGAACGCAGGTGAGAGCATCCTAGAAGTGAGAGGCATGGCACTTGTGACCTCCTTACGCAGGTGACCAGGTCATGTCGTTGCACGTGTTGATGCGTCGCTTCTACCAATCCACGTTGGATGCGCCGAACGTGGGAACGCAGGTAAGAATGACGTTCCAGGTACGAACGCAGGTACAAATGACGTTCCAGGTACGAGCGCAGGTACGAATGACGTTCCAGGAACGAGCGCACGTACGAATGACGTTCCAGGTACGAGCGCAGGAACGAATGACGCTTCAGGTACTAGCGCAGGTAGGAAGGGACTTACAAAGAAGGGGCTTTCGAGGGTCCTGTGATAATTGTTTTCCTCTTCCTCGTCCCTCTCTTCCTTTGTGCGCCTGCAGTTCGCCACTCTGGATTACAAGTATGTTTTGGTGAAGACAGGCACCAAGCCTGCAGCATTCAGCAAGTAAGGGACTTATGACCATAGCTTCCTTCCATTCCCTTTCATTCCCTTCTTGCGTCTGCAGTTTGGCACTCTGGATTACAAGTTTGTGATGGTTAAGACGAGCACCAAGCCTTCTAAGTTCACCAAGCCTGGAGCTTCGGGAGGGCTCCAGATTATTGATCCAGACCTGTATGTGGACCCGCAGGTTATTGTGCATGGGGTTGATACCGTCATCATCCCACCTACAATCAAATAAATGAATGGTGAAAAGAAGAAAGAAGGGTAGCATATGTTTTGTTTCCACGTGTAACCCCGGATATGGAGGTTTTCTGGTCCTTTATAGAAGTACATAGTGTGATTAAATCAGGGTCTTCATGCATAAATGCAAGGTGACAGTGCACGTGTATCAAAAGATGTTAGGTAATGCCTTCAGTTTGCAGGTCTGGGTCACAGAACCTACACCCTGTTTCTCGCTACACTGACCCGCGCGTAACTGGCAGGCTGGCCTTGTCCTATTCGATTTGCCCAAATAAACCATACCGAAACCTAAATCAACCAGCCTCAACCGAGCTTTTTCACTCTGGAAGTCAGTATAGCGGACGTCAGTATGGCGAGAAAGAGGGTGTATACTGTATACCGATCTTAGCAGTGTAACCTCGGGAGTGGCTCGTTTGGTGCCTTTGTCTCAGAAAGTGAATGCAACGGAATGTTTGACTTAGGAGAGCAAGGCATACAAATAGAAACCCTAAGAGTGTTGTACTCCTTAGAGTGCTACTCACTGCAGCCTACAACAGGCCCTCAGAAGTCAGGAAAAAAACGCTGATTTGCACTTGAAAAACTTTTTTTCAGGCTTTTTTTGGGGCCTAAGGCTGATTGGAAAGTGTTTTTTTAGATGTAAGGACTGTTTTTTCAGGCGAGTATCTTGTACCAACACTGATTTTTCAGGCAAGTTTCATGTACCAACACTGATTCGAAACAACACTAACGAACCGAGTCTTGTTGCTGGAAATGCGTGGATTCAATTCATTGGTAAAAAATTCGCAGAATTTTTTTCGTTGTCAGCGTCAATCACGGGAACGGTTTTTTCCCTATACATGGCTGTAACTCGCGTCGCACAACAATTTGGCGTGCTGTCTTGAAAATCTGGCAGGCTGCAAGGTGATTGGGCAGTTTCTCGTAATTACATGGGCCGTCCACTCACGTGCCCTGCGCTGGCACCATTCCACAGCATCACGGTTGTATACCGTGTCGCTTGTGGTACGTGCCATGAACAAGGCAAGTTCAGCATCTTGGATGGCCCAAGCTGGGCCATCCGTTTCTGCTGCATGCAAGGAAGGAACCACCTGTTGGTCCAAACGTCTTCGTCTGCCTCTTCCCCATCGTCTCCTACCAGCACATCATTGCCAGGGTTTCATCTGAGCCTTTGCTACTCGGCAAACTCTCCTGTTAGAGCTCTAGTTTTCCTTTGCTCTCGCCACTGCCGCCATGGCTGGATCCGCCGAGGGGATCCTCGGCGATGACGACCTCGACGATATCGACACAGAAATAGCACGTACCGGTTTAGACCTCTTTTTTGCTCTCTATCTCGAGCTGCTAGCAGTCCGTCGACGATTCGTTTGCTTATGTTCAATGTTTAGTTCTGGTTCCATGTTTGCTTGTGTTCAATGTCATTTTCTGTTCAATGTCAAATTCTGTTCAATGTTTCTTCTGTTCAATGTTTCTTTCTGTTCAACGTTTGCTTCTGTTCAATGTTTGCTCATGTTCAATGTTTGCTCATGTTCAATGTTTGCTCCTGTTTGATGTTCAACACATGCACCATAGCCAGGCAGGAGGATGACAGGAGGAGGCGAAGGGAGAAGGAGGAGGTGCAGGCTGGAGGAGACCAGGCCAACCCGTTTGACTTGGATGATGAGGCTAAGGCGGATAGTGATGCTGAGGATGATTTGTGGTATTAGGTGTAGTAGCTAGATAGGTTGAATCCTTGTGTGATTGAATCCATGTAAACAAGCAAAGAAACATTGACATTGGTTGAATCAGCCTCTATAAATGAAGCAACACTTATTATAAAGTTTTTTTATTTGTACTAACACTGATTGGAAAGTTTTTTTTTTTACAGGTACACTGATTTTTCAGGGTATTTTTTGTACCCGACCCTGACAGAAAGTTTTTTTCCAGGGACCAACACTGACGAATCAGGGTGCCCCAAAACCAATCTGAGGGCCTGGCCTACAACCAATAACAACATTTGACACACCCCCGTAGGCTAAGTGAGGGGCATCAAAGCAAGCATGGTGAACAAACAGTCACAAGACCAGTCAAAGCAAGAAACAAGGCAAGCTCAGGGTGGATCTCAAGGACACCACACAAATTCCGAGCGCAAGCAAGCGGCCACAAGGCCAGTTCAAGAGTTCACTAGGATATATATATGAAAACACAACAAGCAGAGCAAGCAACAAGACTACAGCAACCGAGGGCCTACCTCAACAAGCCCAAACTGCACACAAAACCTGTGGTGATCACCAAGCGCCAAGGCCTTGGTGAAGAAGTCTGCAGTGTTGGCCTCTGAGGCCACAAAGTCCAGGCGTGCCTGGCCGCGTCGCTGCAGCTCTCGCAGGAGGAAGTACCTCACGTCAATATGTTTCACTCTGCTCTCCAGTCGAGGCTCTCGACACAGGAGGATCATGGCCTTGTTGTCAGCGTACAATGTCGGTGCAGAGCGAGGCCGCTCACCAAGGTCGGCGAGCAAGAAGGTCAACCAGCGAAGCTCCTGTGCCGCCATGGCACCAGCGTATATCTCTGCCTCTGCACTGGAAGTAGCCACAGACGACGACCGTGTAGACCTCCACGACACAGCACCAGCTCCCAGACTGAAGCAGTAACCCTGAGTCGAGCGCTGAGTCTCCACGTCGTCAGCGTAGGAAGAGTCGCAGTGACCAGTCAACGCCACTGGCTGAGTCCCTCCAAGCACAAGCCCCATGCCTGATGTAGTCGCCAGGTACTTCGCCACCCTCACAGCAGCTGTCCAGTGGACAGGACGGTGTCTCCCAGTCGCAACAAAGCGAGAGAGGACGTTGAGGGGAAAGGCGAGGTCCGGCCGAGTACAAGTCATTAGGTACATGAGGCAGCCCACCAGCTCTGCGTAGGGACCATTTGACTCAAAAGGCTCGTCGGGAAAGGGGCCAGTGAGTCTGTGGTCAACAGCAAGAGGTGTGGGCTGTGTGGTGGAGAACTGGAAGTCGAACCGCCGAAAAACCTGCTGCACCATGTGTGACTGAGTCAATGTGATGGTGCGAGCGGCTCTGTCCCTGGTGATCTGCAGGCCAAGGTAGCGCTGCAGTTCACCTAGGTCAGTGCACGTGTGTCTCTTCTGCAGTTCGGACTTCACCTGAGCCAGAGCTGCTCTGTCTGCTGTGGCAAAGACCAAGTCGTCGACGTACACTAGTATAAAGAAAGGAGTGGAACCAGTGCGAACAAACAGCGACGGGTCGGCAGAGGAAGGACAAAACCCAAGGTCACGAAGCGTGGAGCGAAGAATGTCGTGCCACTCACGGGGCGACTGGCGGAGACCGTAGACTGGCCGTCTCAGGCTCCACTGGGTCCCAGGTGGGAAGGTGCCAGTGAAGCAGGAGGGCGGCGCAGCCAGATCTCCTCATGTAGTCGGCCCTGGAGAAACGCAGTAGAGAAGTCAAGGGAGTGCAGCTCGTAGTCTCGCTGTGCTGCTACGTGCAGTAACACCCGAAGAGTAGTCATCTTCGGGGTCGGGGCGAAGGTCTGGAAGAAGTCAACTCCCTCACGCTGACTGAAACCCCTAGCCACGTAGCGCGCCTTGAACACAGGCGGTGAACCAGGCGGCCGCTTCACCTTGAAGAGCCACATGCCATCGACTACGTTCGCCCTGGGAGGGGGAACTGCGTCGACGTAGGTGCCTGTGGATCTCCAAGACGCTAACTCCGAGGCCGTAGCCGCTTTCCACTGTGAGGCCCACGCCCCTTACACTGCCTCGCGGTAAGTGCGAGGAGTCGGTATGTCAAGGGCGTCGGGGTCTCCCTCAGGGGATAGCAGCATGGCACAGACAGAGGGAGAAGCGGCTGCCCAGTACTCCAGCTCAGACTCTCTGTCCTCTAGGACGTCACAGCCAAGGGCAAACCCACCCCCGACGGACAGAGGACGGGAGGGAGGAGCTGGCACCACACGGGTGGTGTAGTCAAGGCGACTGGCGGCAGCAAACTCAGCGACAGCGGCAGTGAGAGCCGAGACAGACGACGGAGGGAAACGAGAGTCGGTGACAAGAGTGGCGAGGACACGAGAGACAACAGGACGAACAGGGCGGTAGTAGTCAGTGACAGGAGTAGGGGGGAAAGGGAGAGAGGACGGAGGT